CAGAATTCAATGAGTGTCTTCTGACACCCCAATGAGTTCTTCTCTTCCACCCTACAGCCTCCAGGATCATTTTTTGGCAATCCTGTGGGGAAGGCAGTGGGCTTGGAGTCACACAGATCTGGGTTCAAGTCTTGGTTCTTCTGTTGACTTTCTGTGTCACTCTGGGCAGGATGTCTAACCTCTCTGTTGCTCAGTTTCTCCACTGGTAAAATGGGGTAATGACATCTGTGGATGTTGTTGTCATTATTAAATCATCCCTGCTGCTGACTGTGACATGGATATGCATAGAACACTTCTAAAGCACTGGTTTCTCCCCCTGTTCCCACACACACCCCTGGCCACACACAACATACCCACATACAACCACCTAAGTCCTGTGACTTCTTCATCTGCCTCCCTAGAAGGCCTCCCTAGAAAAGAAGCCGACCCAGCCTCCTGCAGACACAAATGGCAGCTCACTATACCTACTCAGGTACTGGTCATGCTGACCCCTCCACACCCACTGATAATTCCCTTCACCCTCTGCCTTCTGATGTATGTGGCACACTCTCCTGTTACAACGCCAGCAGGGGTGGAGTGACTATGGGGTGTTCTGTCTCCCTCACTGGAGTGAGAGTCCTCAGAGAACACAGCCTGCCTCTCACAGGGAAGGAGCCATTGCTGAGGAAACACTTTCATTTCAGATGGGTCTCGGCATGGGTCTTATGGCCAGGACTTCCTGGCCATGTGTGTAGCTTTGAGCAAATCACTTCACCTCTGAACCTCAACTTCAACTGTGAAATGGGCATGCTGGCATCTTATGATTCTTAGGAGAACCAAATGAGAGATGCCAAGAGCCCAGCATCTGGTACACAGTGGGGACTTAAGTTCCCTCAGCTAGTGCCAGTGGAAATAGAAGCGTGAAAGTGACTCACCTACCACCACTGCCAGCCCCAGCCTTAATCCTGTCCCTCTCAACCCCCCTACTCTGCTTTCTTCTTCACAGCAATGTCACCACTTGAAATCATTGTAATCTTTTTTTTTTTTTTTTTTTTTTTGAGACAGAGCCTCAAGCTATCCCCCTGGGTAGAGGGCCATGGCATTACAGCTCACAGCAACCTCCAACTCCTGGGCTCAAGCGAGTCTCCTGCCTCCGCCTCCCAAGTAGCTGGGACCACAGGCGCCCGCCACAACGCCCGGCTATTTTTTGGTTGCAGCCGTCATTGTTGTTTTGGCGGGTCCGGGCTGGGGATTCGAACCCGCCACCTTAGGTGTACGTGGCTGGCGCCTTAGCCCGTTGAGCTATAGGCGCCGAGCCGAAATCATTGTAATCTTGCTTGCCCATCTCCCTGCTGGAATGTGAGCTCCAGAGAGCCAGGACTAGCTTGCCTTGATCCCTGCTGTGTCCCCAGCCCCTGGCCCCCAGGAGGTGCTGAGTAAGTATCTGATGAGCTGATAGCATCTCCAGCACTTGTGCTAGGCACTGCTGAGGTTTCAGAGAGGCCTTGGGGGCATCACATGCTTTTATTCACTGAAATCCCAGCAAGTCTGGTACCATCTCTCTGGGGAAGGATAGTTATTTCTCCGGAAAAAAGGCAGCAGAGTACAAAGACTATATGATGGGAGAGAAAAATCTTTCAACAAATAACTCGGGAACAACTGGATATCCACATGCAAAGGATGAGTTTAGATCCCTGCCTCTCAAAAGTTAACTCAAAATGAATGGGTCACAGACCAAAACTAAAGACCTAAAACTATAAAATTCTTAGAAGAAAATATAGGAATAAACCTCACAGCAAAGCCTTCTTGGTATGATGTCAAAGCACAGGCAGCAACAAATAGATCGATCGGATGTCACCAAAATTAAAAGCTTTTGTGCTTCAAAGGAAGTCATTAAGACTGCAAGTGAAAAGGATAACTCAGGGGGCCCATAGCTCAGGGGGTAGGGCGCCAGCCACATATACTGGGCCTGGTGGGTTCAAACCCAGCCCGGGCCAGTTAAACAACAATGACAACTGCAATAACAACAACAACAAAAAGCTGGGCATTGTGGTGGCCACTGGTAGTCCTAGCTACTAGGAAGGCTGAGGCAAGAGAATCACTGAAGCCCAAGAGTTGGAGGTTGGTTGCTATGAACTGTGACACCACAGCACTCCAACCCAGGTGACAACTTGAGACTCAGTCTCAAAAAAAAAAAAAGATGGGCGTAACCTATGGCTCAGGGAGTAGGGCCCCGGCCCCATATACCGAGGATAGCAGGTTCAAACCCGGTCCTGCCCGGCCAAACTGCAACAAAAAATAGCCTTGGGTTGTGGTGAGCACCTGTAGTCCCAGTTACTTGGGAGGCTGAGGCAAGAGAATTACCTAAGCCCAAGACCTAGGGGTTGCTGTGAGCTATGACGCCATGGCCCTCTACTGAGGGCAACAAAGTGAGACTCTGTTTCTAAAAAAAAAAAGAAAGAAAGAAAGAAAGGAAAAGATAACTCACAGAATGGGAAAGGATATTGGCAAATCATGTATCTGATGAGGGACTTGTATCTAGAATATACAAAGAACTCCTACAACTCAATAATAAAATTACAAATAGCCCAGTTGAAGAAGCAGCCAAAGGATCTGAATAGACATTTCCCCAAGTAAGATGTACACATGGCTAATGAGCACATGAAAAAATGCTCAACATCATTTTATCAGAGAAATGCAAATCAAAGCCACAATAAGATACTATTTCACATGCACTAGGATGGCTATAATAAAAAAGACAAGTGTTGTTGAGGATGTGGAAAAATCAGAACTCTCATACTTTGCTTATGGGAGTGTAAAATAGTGAAATGTTTTGGAAAAAAAAACAGTCTGGTGGTTCCTTAAAAGGTTAACCAAACAGTCAAGCACTTCTACACTTATGTATATACCCAAGAGGATTAAAACATGAAGCCACACAAAAAGTTGTATAAAAATGTTTATGGTAGCATCACTCACAATAGCTAAAAAGTGGAAACAACCTAAATACCCACCAATGGATGAGAGATAAACACTATGTGATATATCCCCATAACAGAATATTATTTTGCTATAAAAAAGAATGAAATGCTGATAAGTGTTACAAACATGAATAAACCTAAAAAACATTTTGCTAAGCAAAAGAAGCCACTCATAAAAGGACCACATGTTGTATGATTCAATGTATATAAAATGTCCAGCCAGGCATGGCTCACGCCTATAATCTTAGCATCAAGGGGGGCTGAGGTGGGTGGATTGCCTGAGGCCAGGAGTTCGAGACCAGCCTGAGCCAGAGCAAGACCTTATCTCTAAAAATAGCCAGGCATCCTGTTGGGTGCCTGTAGTCCCAGCTACCTGAGAGGCTGAGATAAGAGAATCGCCTTAGCCCAAGAGTTTGAGGTTGCTATGAGCCATGATGCCACGGCACTCTACTGAGGGTGACAAAATGACACTCTGTCTCCAAAAATAAAATAAAATATCCAGAGGAAGCAAATCTATAGAAAGTAGATTACTACTTGCTTAGGGCTGGGGGTAGGTACAGGAATGAGGGTTATAAAATATATATATAGAGAGAGAGAGAGAGAGTGAGAGAGTGTCTCACTCTGTTGCCCAGGCTAGAGTGCTCCAGCAATCCTCCTCCTTGTCCTCCCAGAGTGCTAGAATTACAGTAGGTGGGAGCCACATGCCCCATGGGTTTTATGGGTGTGTTTCCTTAGGCTGTTAGGAGACTTCCAAGTCCTTACACAGTATCACTCTTGCTGAGAAGACCTTGGAAAGAAGGTCGTGGCTAAGCTCGAACTGACAGGAGGGGATCCCCTCACCCCTGCTGGCCAGAATGTGGTCAGAGACTCAAACTAGAGATTGGGGTAGGGGGTCCTCATGGGGAAATCCTGGGCCACCTGGAGCTGCTTACCCACCCTGTTTCCCTAATACCTCTGCTCAGGCTGTGGGAGCTTCTAAGTCTGCTCAGGGCAAAGAAGGCTGACCCAGGGTTCCAACCTCAGTTCCTCCCAGCCTCACTTGCATCCTCAGGAGTCGGGGGAGCCTCTGAAAGGGCAGAGCATGGCCCCAGTGCCTTCAAACCATTCCAAGGCTTTCAGACTCTGCTCCTCCCTCAAGCTTAAGCCCCCAAACAGGACTCTGGGGCCAGTTTTCTTGGGACTCCCACTCAATCCTTTACTGCCACGAGGTGAGGGTCACTATGCCCATCTTACAGACGCAGATATGGAGGCTGAGTCAGAGTCCACGGTCTTACAAGCGGCTAGTAGAAGAACCTAATTTGGGCCCATCAAGGACAGGACTTTTCTCCCAGCTTTTGCTTTTCCGCAGAGCCAGGAGTCCCCAGCTGTGAGGAGCGCTGGTCTCACCTCGGATTTCAAAGAGCTTGGTCTGGGCGGCCGACCCGCACGCAGGGCACAGCCTCCTGCACGGCCAGCCCCTCTCTGGTCCCAGTCTTTGGTCGACACCCCGAGTCAGGTAGACTGGGAACTCCGAACACTGTCCCCGGCTCCCGCCCAGCCTTCCCCGCGACCTCCCTTCGCTCCCGAGCTGGGGCCCAGCAGGCCCCGCCCGCCCCTCGCCTGCTGGGTCTCTGCCGCAGCGCCGGGCTCGGGACTATCTGGCCGTCGGATTAATATCCAGATATTAAGTAAACAATAAATTAGCAAAACTACAAGAAAATTTTACAGCCCTTTGCATTTGGCAATCATTGAGTGTTAATTAGAAATTCATTACAATTAAAACCCTGCCTAAACAGGGCCTGCGCGCCTTAATTACATCTGATTTTTAATTCAGAATACGTGTTTACACAGTAAGCGCTACGTACCCCATGATTATCCCCAATCCTCTTTATACTGTACTAATTATGTAAATTAAACCTAATTAACTGACGAAAACTGCCGTTAATTCAACTGGTAAAAGATATGTGCTCGTGGAGCAGGCGCGGCCGCCCAGCCCCAGCCCCAGCCCCCGCCGAGCCCGAGTGGACGCGACGCCGGGGACGCGGAGCCAGGAGACAAGACGAGATGAGACCCCGAGGCGCGTCCCGGATCCCGAGTCCACTCTCTGACCCCTGGTGCCACCGGCCAGCAGATGAAATAGTCCCGCCAGTAATGGGGGTCAGAGAGGCCAAGGGCAGCGACTCCAGCTAGGTTGAGGCAGAGCTCCCACTGAGGAAGAGGGGTCCCACCCACCCTAGTCGGGGTCCCAGCTCTGCCACTCACTGCCCGTCTGAACCTGAGCGAGCGTCCTGGCTTTGCTAGGCCTTTTCCCTCTGCCCAAAGTCTTGCGGGGGTGACGGTAAAACCTCTCGTTCTGCCCAGCGCAGCGCTCCTTCCTTCCCTCCACTAAGCGAGACCCTCTCTGCAGCTCCCAGGAGCCTGGGTTTACTTCTTAGAGATCAGTTCATGTCCCTTGACCGAGGAACCTAGTGAGGGGGCGTTCCTTCCACTGCTGGACCCTCAGTTTCTTACCTGTAAAATGGGAATAAATGATCCTTACTTATTCCCAGGGCCCCTGGGAGAACGAGCTCTGAGAACCGTAAACTCGTCCGCAGTGATATTAACGGAGCAGACGCTGGTCCAGAGCAGTGCCCCAGCCCTGACCCTCAAGACCTGCGCCCTGGAGACCGGCTCAGAGTGGCGCCTTCACTCTCCAGCTCAGACCAGTGACTGAAGCTGGGCGGGTCTCCTGGCGCGGGGCCTAGGCTTGGGGAGCTGTCCGTAACTTGGTGCTGGACGCCAACGCAGGGGCGACACTGCACCATCCCTGGTGCGGTAACCCTGGGTGGGACCCTTTGTCTGACAGGTCCCGGAGCCTCGAGGTGGGCTGCAGGGAATGCCCTAGAAGCTGGCCCCACAGGCGTTGTTGTTTCTGGACGTACAATAGAGGCAGGACGGGCAGGCCCTGCCCAGGGGAATCCTGCCCTGTCCTCTCTGCACTGCCACCCCCACCACCCTGGGGGCGTCCTGCTTCCTTGGTCTTTGTCACCACCACACCGAATTCTGAGAGGCCTTAAAAAATCATTAGGAGGCTAAGAATAATTACTGAAGGAGATTGTAATTATAGGGTGAGGGAGCCCGGGCTGAGGGAGGGAGGACCAGTGGGTGGGGACTGGAGCTGGGCGGAAAATAGATTCTTATTCCCCTACCCTCAGGGAAGTGGGTGGGGGATAGAGAGCGGCGAAGTTGGAGCGGGACAGAGGCAGAGCCTGGGAAAGACGCGGGGATGCAGGGGTCAGAGGTAAAGAAAGAAAGAGGGGCTGAGCAGGCTCCAGGACATATCTGGAAGAAAAGAGGGAAAGGCAGGAAGGTCCGAGAGAAATACGGGAGCTGAGGGAGGTGAGAGAGCAAGAGCCCAATATAGAAGAGACCCCACCGAGGAGACAGATCCCCCAAACTTGGGAGTGATTTTCCGGGCCTAGGAGAACACGTTTGGCAGGTAGGGGAGAGAGAACAAATGAGTCTCCAGGTCCCGCTTCTCGCTTGGGGGCAGGCCTGCGCGGTCAGTATGCGCTTCCAGAGGCCTTTCCCAGGATCTCTGTGAGCCAGGAGGGGGAAACAGCAGAGAGAAGAGGACAGGAGCCCCAGAGGCGCTGAGGCTCTGGGGGGAAGAGGGCCCATACCCGAGAGCAAGATGAAACAGGAGGCGGCGGTGGGGGCGAGGGCGACTCAGAGCCGCAACCCACGGAAGATTTATGGCGCCGCCCGGGTTCCAAGGACAGGCTGCGCTCGCGGATGCTGCCACCGCCGGTAGCCGCTGTGGCCGCTGCGCCCCCTGCCCGGGCGGCCTGCCGCGCCCCGGGCCATCCCTGCCATTATTAACTTCTGTTTGATTAGGGTAATTGTTCAAACTTGGGCTGGACAGTATGATTAATTACAGTTTAATTAACGTGTCCATTAAGGACACTTAATGCCACAGGGGCAGGGAGGGAGGTGGAAGCGGCGGAGGGCGCCTGGGTAAGGAGGGGCGGGGGTGAGACTAGTAACTCCAATGACGAAGTGGAGACAAAGATTGAGAGGAAGAAGACGGGGACCGATGGGGTTTGAGGGGGGAAATAATGGTGATGACAGACGAATAGAGATGGGGGGGATTGAACGGAGCTTGGGGGAGAAATAAGGAGCCCAGGGGCATCTGTATTGTCAAGGGGCTATATTGCACCACGGGGAAACTGAGTTAGCAGCGTTAAGAGAGTAGTTGGCTTCAGATCTTTACCAACGATGACTTGGCTCCTGGGCCTTTTGGTGATGGCGAGGAGAGGCATTCGAAGCTGAGGGCCCCCCAAACCCAGTCTGAGTCCCCTGCCAAGTGATGGCAGCAGGAAGGCGCCCTCCTCCCCCCTAGATCTGTCCAGGTGCATCCCACCTAAGTCAGGAGGGGGGAGAGACCGGTCTGCCCCTTTCTGTCAGCCAGCCCTGGTGTTCCCATCCAGGGACCTGTTCTGGCCACTGGTGACCTACTGTTCCCCAGGCCACCATCAGATCCACCAACCTGGCCCTAGTCTGTGGTCCAAAAGTGAGGTATCTCTCCTCGTGTCCCTTCCTTCTAACCCTCCTTCAGTCCCATCACCCAGCCCTGGCCCAGCCCAATTCTGGCCCCCTGGAGAGGAGCCCTGGCCCTTTCACACTTAGTTCTTGGAGGCAAACTTTGCGGCCCCGGGCCCTTCCTCCCTCTTGGCCTCTCGGCCAGCGCGGACGCAGGTGCTGGGCGCAGGACGCAGGTGTGCGGCCGCTTACCTGGGGCGCGAAGGCCTTGGGGCTGAGGGAAGCGGCTGGCGCCGCGTATGACCTGCGGGCGGGCGGACCGCGGGAGGGAGAGAGTGACTGCGCGGGCGGTGGGTGTGGCGCCCGGGCTTACAGCTGTCAGGCGTGCCCGCCCCGCGCCGGCCTCGCCACTCCGGCTGTGACCGCGCCCGCCACCGCGCCATGCGCTCCAGGCTTTGGCCTCTTCTTCGGGCCAGTCCCCGGCCTCAGGGACAGTGGCTCAGGGCACAGGTCTCGGTGCCCGGAGCCCTGGCGTCCCGCACACGCTGAGAGCAGGAGGGGCCGCGGGTGGGAGCGCTGGGAGCCGGGGAGCGTGGCTGTGCGCGCGCGCGGGGAGGGGCCGCGCCGTCACCCGGAGAGCCCGGCGGATCCCCGACTCCCGCCCGCTGCTCCGCCCGCCGCGCACCTCCGCTCACCGCTCGCCCGGCTCCAGCCGCCGCCGCACGGTGAGTACCCGCGTCCGGTAGCCCGCCGACACTGCACCCTGCCCGTACAGCTTTTTTTCGTTTAGTTCTGATTTGGGCTCTATAGCTGTTGTTTTTATTATTATACCTAATGACTCCTCCGCCTCACTCGTACTGCTGCCCGCCTCCCGCCTCATTGCCCTCCCCAAGCTCACCTCTCAAGCCCCAGGAGCAGATGATGGTTTCCCGAGCTGCTCTGGCTTCTGCCCCTTGTCGCTTCTTACGTCCCCCAAATTTTGTTCCTTTCCTAGAGCCCCCCCTTTCTTCTGGCTCCAGGGCCTGGACCCCACTCCTTTCACTCGGGAAAACCCCGCAGGGACCCAGGACCCTCAGCCTGGGGAAGATGTGCTCGGCTCAGGGCGCTCTCTTCACTGTATGCGGGCCAGGCACACTTGTCAATTTCGGGAAACCGAGAAGCCGTGGTCCTTTCCCACAGCCTTGCTCTCTCCAGCCTCCCCCGCCGCCGGCCTGAGAGCCCTCCGGAGGGCGCAGGGCTTATCTCGCTGACCCCTCGGCCAGGACGGTTAGGACAGTGCTTTGCCTCCTAAAATGTTATAAGGGACTTTAACGTGAGCAGAGGGTCAACTTGTTTCAGTTTGATCTTCAGAGATAAAGATGAAACAGACAGATAATAGCTTGATACTTGAAGAAGGTAAGAAGACAGATGGGAGAAAGAGGGCTAGCTGGCAAAGACAGACAGCTCAGGGACAGATAATATCAACAAATGAGGCGGGGAAAGAGAGGGAAAGAGACAGACAGAAGATTCCAGTCTCCCCTCTAAGGCATTTGAACTCGGATCTTTTGCCCTCCTGGAGCTACCCCTCTGAAAATGGATTTGCAGTTCAGGCTGAGTTTAGGGCAGGGCCCCTCAGGTTTGGGCTACCCCAGCAGAAGGAGTGCCTGCAGCCAGGGACCAGGTTGGAAGAGTGCATCTCTGACGACATGTGGCTGGGCCAGGCGACATAAAGGGGGCCAAACACCAGCTCCCTGGCCCCCCTCCCTGTGCAATTGCCTCTCTGCCTAGGATAGAGAGCAAATCGAGGACTAGGAGCAACTTATGTGCCTGGAGCCTTTTAGTGGCTTTGAAGACGGGTTGGGATTCCTTCTAGCCTGTATAAACCTGAATAACGGGGCAAGAAGGATACTCAGAAAGGAGATGCACCCCCAAAAGGAAGTCCAGAGCCCCAGGATCCCTCATTTGGCCTGGGTGGGAAAAGCACATCTGAAGAAGGAAAGCTCAGGGGGTGGGCGATTGGAAGCAAGGGAGAAGTGGTTCCTGAGAAACTTCCTGGAGAAGCTCTCGGTCCCGGGAGCTGACCCGATGGAAACCAGCTTTGGTCTGAAAGGCAGCTAAATATGCAGAAAATGTGGTTAGGAACTGCATAAACCTGGTCCCATGAATGGCTGGAAAGAATACGGTTTATATATCCACCTGAATCTTTCTGCTCAACGGACCGGGACGCCACGGTGAGAGGAGAAATACGGGTTTGTGGAAAGTGGCACTGTTGTCCCAGGAAACCGGCTTGGAGCGGAGCTGGGTGCAATAGGAGCAGCCCGGGGTCTGGGTGCGCACTGGCGCGCCTTGGTGAGGGTCAGGTTCAGCACCGCGAACAGCGGTTGCCTGGATCTCTCTCCCTCCCAGGCAGACCTAGGTCCCTCCTCCTTCTTCCTGCCCCCCTCCAGCCCCCGCTGTCTGGAGTGGGCAGTGACCGCCCCTCCCCCGCCTTCCTACCCCTCCTCGCGCTGCCCCAGGCCGCCCGCGTGCATGCGCGACTGAGCAGAGGGGCGGCGGGTCCCCGAAGTCCGGGCTTCAAGACCCTGGCCGGCAGGACCGGCTGCGAGGGTGGCCGAAGGCACACGGAACAGGGCGCTGGAAAGCCTGGATTTGGCAATGGCTTTGCTGTGTGGCCTTGGGCAAGTCACTCTGCGTCTCTGGGTCCCACTTTTTCCCCAATCTGAAAACAGGATTGGGTTCCTAATAGCTCCGGCATTCCAGAGGTCTCCAATACCCCCTTTCCTCCCCCAAACCCCGGGGGCTTTTGTTCTGGCGCCAGCACGGGTCTGAATAACAAAAGGCGCCTGTCCAGGGGGTGAATGAGCTTGGACTCCCCACTGCCAAGTATTCCCGCGCGCCCGAGTCGGCGCGCCCCGCTGGGCGGGCCCGAGCCGCAGCGGCGGTGGTGCTGAAAATGGCTCATCCGCTCTTTGCTTTCTTTATTTCGCAGGAGCGGCGGCATGGAGGCTCTCACCACTCAGCTGGGGCCGGGGCGCGAGGGCAGTTCTTCGCCCAACTCCAAGCAGGAGCTGCAGCCCTATTCGGGCTCCAGCGCTCTCAAACCCAACCAGGTGGGAGAGACGTCGCTGTATGGGGTGCCCATTGTGTCGCTGGTTATCGACGGTCAGGAGCGCCTGTGCCTGGCGCAGATCTCCAACACTCTCCTCAAGAACTACAGCTACAATGAGATCCACAACCGCCGCGTGGCCCTGGGCATCACGTGCGTGCAGTGCACGCCGGTGCAGCTGGAGATTCTGCGTCGGGCCGGGGCTATGCCCATCTCCTCACGCCGCTGCGGCATGATCACCAAGCGTGAGGCCGAACGTCTCTGCAAGTCATTCCTGGGTGAGCACAAGCCCCCCAAGCTGCCCGAGAACTTCGCTTTCGATGTGGTGCATGAATGTGCGTGGGGCTCGCGTGGTAGCTTCATCCCCGCGCGTTATAACAGCTCTCGTGCCAAGTGCATCAAGTGCGGCTACTGCAGCATGTACTTCTCGCCTAACAAGTTCATCTTCCACTCACACCGCACACCCGACGCCAAGTATACGCAGCCTGACGCCGCTAACTTCAACTCGTGGCGGCGTCACCTCAAACTCAGTGACAAGTCGGCCACAGACGAACTGAGCCACGCTTGGGAGGACGTCAAGGCCATGTTCAATGGCGGGACGCGCAAACGGACCTTCTCGCTGCAAGGAGGCGGTGGAGGCGGCTCTAATGGCGGGTCGGGTGGGCAGGGGAAGGGTAGTGCAGGCGGCGGTGGCGGTGGCGGCCCGGGGTGTGGTGCGGAGATGGCCCCAGGCCCGCCGCCCCACAAAAGTCTGCGCTGTGGTGAAGATGAGGCTGCCGGTCCTCCGGGACCTCCTCCTCCCCATCCACAGCGGGGACTTGGCCTCGCGACTGGAGCTAGCGGCCCAGCGGGTCCTGGAGGGCCTGGTGGCGGTGCTGGTGTGCGCAGCTACCCGGTGATCCCAGTGCCCAGCAAAGGCTTTGGCCTCTTGCAAAAGCTGCCCCCGCCGCTTTTTCCGCATCCCTACGGTTTCCCCACCGCCTTCGGCCTATGCCCCAAAAAGGACGACCCGGTGTTAGGTGCAGGAGAGCCTAAGGGCGGCCCTGGCACTGGGAGCGGCAGCGGCGCGGGTGCCGGTGGGGGAGCAGGGGCCCCGGGAACTGGCCACTTGCCCCCAGGAGCAGGGGCGGGCCCAGGCAGCGGCGCTATGTTCTGGGGGCATCAACCTTCCGGGGCAGCTAAGGACGCAGCGGCCGTGG